AACAAACTGGCAGATTTAAAAGACAAACATTGAAGTAAATGTGAAATGTTTACATGTACCAAGAGAGTTAACCATGGATTAGAAATAAGTCACACTTTCTCAATCTTAAGGGTACTACTCCGCTGGAAGAGTAGCCCCGTCTGTCTATGGGGGATGTATTACTACGCAGTCACGTCTGGTCGGTATGGGGACGCAAAATCAACTGCTTCTCTCTAGTCCAGTAGACAAGTAACATCTCTGATTTTTCCAAATTTGGACTGTTACAAGGCTAAATTGTTGAACATATTGAACATGCCATCATTTGTCAGTGGCAGTCAAAGTTTGACACACTTCATCCTTCGTCCAATTTGGCAGAGTCAACCTATTAGATTATCAGTTTGACGAATATTCTCATCGTGAATACGCATGAAATATTTGCTGCTGGGCGTAAAGTAAATAACAGTCAATCAAAAGCTTACTTGCAGATAGGCTGTACAGTAACTTGTAACATATCTTTAAGATGTTATGGGTTTAAACATTCAAAATATGCACACAAAAATCGTCGGTATGTTAATTAATCAAGATGTCCCATCATACTTCTTTCTCAAATCAGTACCTGCATGCTTTTTATGATTCTGTCTTATAAACACAGATTTTTTTTACATTATTTGAACGTCTTTTCTGTAGTATAAGAACCAACATGTATAAAGACTCATTTTGGGGGTTGTTTGACTTCGTACATTCTTATTTGATTTATTCGGCTACATGTACGCTTAAGATTGTTGTATTTAGAGAGTGGTTTGAGGGGCGTACTTGCAAAAACACGTGCAAAGGGAGGGACGAAGATACCAGAGGGGGGCAATAAAAATTAAAGCTCAATAAGATCAGACAGCACTTTTGCAAAAACAAAAAGCCTAAAGAAAAAACAACAATATCAAAGCATTACAAAGAAAACTAGAGATTGTAGCAAAACTCGGGTACTCCGGAAGGGTAAGCGGCTTCTGCTCCACTAATGTCACTTTTCGTGTTACTCAATGCAAGTAAAATCAAGGTAATAAATAGCATTCGATAATGCCACAATCGAGGAAAAAAAGACGGGATTGTGGGAACGACAAGTGGAAAATATCCGTGCCAGATGTATAAAAACGTGAATTTTCCAATAAAAAATGAAATAAAGATTAGAATAAAGAGATGAAAGAAAGATAAAAATATCTGGTATACATGGTATACATGTTGATTCTTTCAACAATACCCGGTGGATTATGATATTTATCTCATCGAGAAAATAAATATCAAAACTAAAATTCGATGCATTTTAAAACTCACCGATTTATCATTCAACGGCGAATAAATATCAGAAATAATAATGTGAAATGTTAGATTGATTGATTGATTGATTATCAGCTGTCTATTAACCACCAGTAGCAGATATTTCATGCATATTTATGAGGAACAAAAATAAATTGACAATGAATCAATTTAGTAAATTGATTTAAAAGGGTTTGACCAGAATGTTGGAAGGCGGATTTAGACTGTATCTAGAAATAGGGGGGTATGTTGGATGTGGGAAACTAATTTGCCTCGCAACAAACCCATGAATGAAGATTTGAAAGAGTTGTTAGCTTAATGTATAGAGCGTGCGATATTCTTAGTCTCCTTACACGAGACATATGGTACAACTTTCCAATTCTGCATTGACGTGCCTGCGTACTCACCAAAAGGACGTCCATCTACGATTAGGATACATTCAAAAAGTAATATGGCCTTGTAAACTAAGCCGTCAAAAACAAATATCTATGACGTTTTCTTAATGATGATAAGTTTTATTCTGAGTTTATAAAGGACACTTCATTCATAAAAGAATTAAGTAGGTTTCTTTCTTTATTCTACACGTCATGTTCAGGTCAAATAATGTCAATACCCTTTACTTTATTGTATACTGTTTCAATAACCATAATGGTATAGTTTATTCGGATATGCAATTATGTTATTAATCGTTATCAGTTAAAAAATGATATTTCATAATTAATATATTGTCCCTTATCAATCTCTGTTGTGAGAAAAATCAGCAATTAAATGACGACTAAAAAATAATATAAATGGCCTAGTATTGGACAAAAACAAGATTTTTAGTGCAATTTGTAAATAATTATAATAAAATATTAACCGATTCGTTACAATAATAACAAGACACATTGTGTGTGTGTGTGTGTGCGCGCGAGACGGGTTTGGGTGATGAAAAGGGGGTGGGGTTGGGTGGTTGAAAGGGGATGTTGAAGACGTTTGAATCATCTGTAATATACCAAAAACTCGTCAATTCTGATCGTTAAGGAAAGTATGTCTAGTTCTTTGTTCGTGAAAATCTATAGACAGGTTAAGCCGTTAAATTGTTGGATCGGTAAAAATCGACCATATAATGCTAGTTTTTTACGTAATTTTTATCAAAACCATCAACAATATAAAAAATAACAACCTTTATTCTTTGAAAAATTACGATTATGTGATTTTGAATTGTTTACTGTTGTCAAAAGAGAAGGCAAATTTAAAGGCCCACTGAATTAACAAAATTAAAAATAATTGAACTCAATCAAATAACATCCTTTAGAGTGTTACACGACGCACATGGATATAAGAATTTTTATAAAAAAAATATTTAGTATCATATATTTTTACTTTAACATGTTTAAGCATTCAAAGTTCTTTTCCACGAAAAAGATGTTTATGGTAAAATGTCTTTCGTCCGTACAACCGTACGTCCCATAAAATAAGAGCTTTCTTAAAGTTAGTAGTAAGCTTCAAGGGAGTATACTATACCGTGCAAAACATTTTCAAATTCATTTCTCATCATCTTCTTGTGTACCGAACACTTATAGTTACATATTTTTGCACAAAACGGCAATGGAATTTTCATTGCATTTTTGTTAGGAGCTTCAAACCAGGGTTTCTGAAGTTTTGAGTCATGGTTAATCAACTTCCTGTTTATCATTAATGAGCAATATACATGTAACTCACAGTTTCTGTAGCACTGTTTTAAAGTAACAAAACAGTACTCAACATGTTTATCATTTTAAAATTAACAAAAGTTCGAAAGTTGGGAAACAAAATATATCTTTCCAGTCGCAGGGGAACATAATGGCTCTGTTCATACATTCTCAAATGGATTAATATTTACCAGGGTCTGGATGGGGCTTACACAATAGAGAATACTGAGCAAAATGTGCAGAATAAAGTGCTAAAAAATTAAAGAATAGAGAAAAATAGGCTAAAACAATAAATAATAGAGAAAAATAGGCTAAAACAATAAAGAATAGAGAAAAATAGGCTAAAACAGTAAAGAATAGAGAAAAATAGGCAAATACAATAAAGAATAGAGAAAAATAGGCTAAAACAATAAAGAATAGAGAAAAATAGGCCAAAACAATAAAGAATAGAGAAAAGTAGGCTAAAACAATAAAGAATAGAGAAAAATAGGCTAAAACAATAAAGAATAGAGAAAAATAGGCTTAAACAAAAAAGAATAGAGAAAAATAGGCCAAAACAATAAAAAATAGAGAAAAATAGGCCAAAACAATAAAAAATAGACTGAATAACTGGGTGCTAAAATTTATTAAATATATATTAAATAAAGACACATTTTATAAAGAATAGAGAGAAATGGCTAAAAATTCAAAAAAAATAAATATTGAACAGAAGGACCCCCATCCAGACCCTTATTTACGCTTGTGACATCGATGAGTAAGGGTGACTTCATAGTTGAAAAACGATTTATAAATGATTGCGTTTACGATGTTAAGCCAAAGGAATGACTGCAAGTTCTGGTCGACCTAATTAATTCTTTTATCGTTACATGGTTAGTTTCGCATAGGAATTTTGATCAATTATATTTAGTGCATCCGCCTGTACTAACATGAAATATAAGTGATACGATCATTATCTGAAATTTACTGTTAATGCTCTGCAACTTCTTTATTGACTTGGCATTCAAACTGTCTTTAGTCGTATGTAGACAAAACACGCGTATAACGTGTAAAATTATAGGTCTTGTATCTTTTGTCAGTTTTTTGTAAAACATTTAAACTCAGTCATATATCCTACTCTTCCATATATTTGTGAATTATCGTCTGACGGGTGATGCATCCACAACAGGAAGCACCTTGCCTTACGTCATTTATTCCGACTAGTTTTATTTGTATGTGTGTCTGTCTGTATCTCCGTGCAATATTATGGACATATGTGTATGTACAATCTTCATATTTCATATTTAACCAGGTTGTCAGCTGGATTGTCAAATTCAAGTGTTAAATCATAGTAAGGCTCCGAAGTATTAAACGTCATTCTATTTTTTTATTATTATTTTCTATTTTTCAATATGATTTGATTTTTTTTTTGTTATAAAGGAATTTGGTGAACAAGATACGAATGCGTTTAAATATTCTAATTAAAACGTAACTTGCAAAAAAAAAAAAAAAAATATTTTTGTTTAAATATATCGTGACAACGCTGTATAGAGATAAAGGAGCCGAAAGAGTTATGTATAGTAACTTCTGAGACTGACACAAATGTTTCATTCAGACACCTGTTTAAAGTTAAGTTAAAAACAAATTTTCTTGGTAAGTTTTCCGCATCCGTTTCACAGATGATAACGGATATGTTTCTAATGTTGTAACTACAATCCCATCCCCTTTTCCCGAATGTGACCTACCGAATTAGACTTATTACCGTGTTTATACTAAAATGAGCAACATGACGGGTGTCACATGTGGAGCAGGATAATTCCGCTTACCCTTCCGGAGCATCTGAGATCACCCCCAGTTTTGATGGGGTTCGTGTTGCTCAGTCTTTAGTTTTCTATGTTGTGTTTTGTATACTATTGTTTGTCCATTGGTCTTTTTTTTCTAGCCATGGCGTTGTCAGTTTATTTTCGACTTACGAGTTTGAATATCCCTCTGGTATTTTTCGCCTCTCTTTTACAGTATTGATTGATTACAAATAAAAAGTTATTTTTGACATTCTATATTCAGGAAAAACAGTGTTGTCAGCCTGCACCGGAAGTGGATTTCCAGCAGAATGGACAACAGCCACAGCAGGCGTCACTTATTGGTTCGTAACAGATGCTATTAAACGACAATTTACATCTAGCTATACCATTACAGATTATCAAACATCAGATGGTTCGGCATATGGTAAATATAATTAGTTATGAGTAATAAAAAATAATTCTCAGTTTAAAAAAAAAAATGCGTGGGTTAAACAAAATTCAATCAGACCGATTATTTGTTAATTCGTCCTATTTACGGTTGAAGCAACTATCATTAGTGAGGGAACGACCATTTAACTTCAAGGGGGGAGGGGATGTTATGGTTTTTTCCTAAAAAGAATATTCAGATCCCCAATTTGATGAAAAAAAAATATTGTGGTCAAGCAGATGACAAAAAAAATATTCTGAATCCAGTTTTTCCTCATACCTTATAGTGTTTAATTTTGAAAAAGTAGACTTGATTGGCCTTCAAATATTTGGCTTTGAGCGTTCCTGCTGAAGGTAAATCCAGAAAAGCGCTTCGGACGCATGAAATTTATAACTTGTTATTTTCATTTTTTTTTATTAGTACTTTGGTGGATAGTTGTTATATTTACAATCATACTACATCATGCACATTATTTATATATCGGTACTGCAGATGAAAAAATGTAACGCAGATTATCTGCTCTATACAATTACAAAATCAAATGTATTGCGATGGAAATCGTAACACGGACAAACATCTGCCATACACGAAATCAAAATCACTTGTTTTTACATGTATAGGCAATAGGCAATAGGGAAAACGGAAACTTTCTATCTGTCGAAGTGATTGCCGGTAAAAGTAGTTAGTATACCTATCTTCAAAGTAAAAGTCACCTTATAGTATGATAAACTTGAGAATGGAAATGGGGAATATGTCAAAGAGACAACAACCCGACCAAAGAGCAGACAACAGCCGAAGGCCACCAATGGGTCTTCAATGCAGCGAGAAAATCCCACACCCGGAGGTGGTCCTTAGCTGGCCCCTAAATAAAATTGTGTGCTAGTTCAGTGAAAATGGACGTCACACTAAACTCGAAAACATATAAATGAACTAAAATTAAAAATCATACAAGACTAACAAAGGCCAGAGGCTCCTGACTTGGGACAGGCGCAAAAATGCGGCGGGGTTAAACATGTTTTGTGAGATCTCAACCCTTCCCTATATCTCTAGTCAATGTAGAAAAAAGAAACACATAGCAATACGCACAGTAAAACCCAGTTTAAAAGAAGTCCGAGTCCGATGTCAGAAATGGTAACAAAAGAAACTAAGCAAAATGACAATGGTACATAAATGAACAAAGGACTACTAGCAGTTACTGACATGCCAACTCCAAACTTCAATTAAACTGATTGAAAGAGTAGGTCTTCATCATATGAAAATCAAGTACAATCCCTCCCGTTAGGGGTTTAGTATCATACCATCATAAAATATATGATATAGATTCCAGTATGCATGACAAGTGTTTCTGGAATAACCAATATTTATTATAGTCATTCGGTACACCATTTTGGTGAAGGTTACTGTTGTTGTTCATTTTTACTCTAGATTTCCGTTTTATCGTTTAGATTAGGTTTTATGGATTACGATTGCTGATTCCAATTTATAACATGGACAACAAGGGATAGGGTACAAACATTCTTGGCACAAAATCTATACACGGACTTGAACAAAATCAAACCATTCAAGGAAAAGCACATGTTTGTGTGTTGTTGTTATACATTTATTTCTATACCTGATTTTGTAGCTTGAGTATTAAGAAGATTACATTTAATGCAGAATTTTCTAAAAAAAAAAAAAAATAGGAAATGAGTTGTATCCCTTCCGCCATGTACACCTTTCAAAAAATCATCCAACGAACTTCTGTCTGTAATAAACCTATACCTTTGAAAGATGTCTGCTTCTTCATAAGGGTACATGTGATTTATTTTTTAATAACTTCTAGTGGGTGCAAATACTGAAGATGGAACAGCCTCAACTAATGTTTTGGAGAACCATATAAAAATAAGAAGATGTGGTATTATTGCGAATGAGACAAATCTCCATAAGACACCAAATGACACAGAAATTTACAACTATAGGTCACCGTACGTCCTTCAAAAATGAGCAAAACCCATACCGCATAGTCAGCTATAAAATACCCCGAAATGACAAATATAAAACAATTCAAACGAAAAAACTAACGGCCTAATTTAAGTACAATGTAATGAAAGAAAAACAAATATGGTACACAGCAACAAACGACAACCACTGAATTTCAGGCTCCTGATTTGGAACAGGCACATACAGAATGTGGCGGGGTTTAGCTAGGCTCAAGCTAGCAGCCACTCGCTAGCAGCCACTCCGCTAGCAGCCAGTTTTCAGATATGTCTATAAACCCAAAAGTTGCATAAGACTCAAATGTTATTTTTTATACTATATATAACGCATTTTTAATTTAACAATCGAAGACACTTTATAAGAGTTCTAGGGGTGGATCCAGCATTTTTGAAGAGAAAAAAGGGGAAGGCTAATTGCCAAAAAAAAACAAACGATATATATACCGCCGATCGGAGAGATGCAATAAATTGTTTAACGAATTTATGCCGAAAAAAAGAAGATATTTTTCCTTTTAAAGGAGATGGTGGCGTACACCCACCACGCCTAATCTGAATTCGCCACTGACTTTTATATTTTCATTTCTTGATCAAGAATTGAAAGACATTTGTATACTTTATTAGCACACTGCGCTGCACGTTGAAAGGGTGAGTAATAGATACAAAAAAATATGTAGAACACTGCCAGAGTGGAGAAAAAATGAATTTCTTTTTAAAACACAATGTAAAGCAGCATTTTTCTTTAAAATGATTTAACCCTAAAAAGCATGGAAATGTGGAATAAAATGTTTGTTTAAAATCTTCAAAAAATATGATTTACCTCCCTTTAGAACTTACTACTTTAGAATAATTAAAATATTAAGTTTTCTTTGATGCGTAGAACAACAAACTAATTGTATCATAAGATGTCAAGCATTTGTTTATTGACTATAAATGATCAAGTAATAAACAGTTGCAGAAATTATATATAATTAAGCTATTTTCAGTTTCCTTTTATGCCTATTTCATGAGATTTATTATGAATGTTCATAATTTCAACAACGTTACACTAAAACCGTCGTCGAGGTAGGCCGTTGTATACCATCATCGGTCAATAAAGAAAGATGAAAAAATCTATCCTCGTTCATTAAATAGACGAATAAAGTTTATGAATACGGGTAAGTATAAGCTAAAGTCAAAATAAAAGGAACTTCCTTTAAATATGACTGGTAACAACTGTCCTTTCCTAGATTTAGATGTTTCAGTTTCACACGGGAAACTACAGTAAAATTTTCTTTCAAAGGGACGATTTTACGTTCCTTATTAATAACTTTCCTTTTTTGGACGGTGACGTGCCTTTGGAACCATCTCGTTCGCTATGCCCGTGTCTGCTGTGACGTTTGAATTTCAATGAACGTATTCTATCATGTATTACCGGTAAATTGTTACATTTGTAAGTCGGGGGTTTCGTTACCACAAATTACTTAAAACCTTTACTAAATTATTCCATCTATATAAAGATTTGGGTTTAAAGTTTGGTTGTACATGTAGAAAACTTATTTCAAACGGGATAGCACATCCTAATTTTATTGGAGATGTTGTTTACCGAGCCCGAAAATTTAGAAACGATCCGGGTAAACTTATCGATCCTTTACATAAATTTATTCTAAAAGGTTACCAATTCAACACTGTAATTAGATCTTTGAGTATTTTTTTTATTGGTATTAATATTGATTTTGTTATCAGTAAAATAAAATCAAACTAAATATGATGTTTATATACATATGCATATTCATGGCTCTACGATCTGTCGATGCCCGTATCTTGGCATTGCACAAGATCATGTTTTTTTACTGTTTATGACGTCTTTTCACTTAATCCGTTGGATGTTGGATGTGTACTGATTGGTATTTTAGTCTGAGTTGCATGATTTTTTAAGGTAGGGTTGAGTGCTCACAAATTTGTTTTTTTTTATTATTAGTTTTTATTGGCTTTGAACTAGCCATCAGTAACTGTACTTAGTGTTGTTTTTTTTTGTTGTGGGGATGTATAAGTACCCTGCCATGTCCACTCTGTGTTTTTGTTACTTGTTTTTGCTTTGTATCTATCTGATGAGTTCAGTCCTTTTCAACTAATTTGTATAGTTTGTTCATATGTTGTACCGTTACACCACTGTCCCAGGTAAGGGGAGGGTTTGGTGCCCGCCAAACATGTTTAACCCCATTCTGTATGTGCCTGTCTCAAGTCAGGAGCCTGTAATTCAGTTGTTGTCGTTTGCTGCAGCTGTACATCATGTTTATTTTTCGTTGATTATTTTGTACAAAAACTAATCTTTAAAAGAGAAAAATGAAAAAAAAAAAACAGAAATGTATTCCTTTATTTTTTTTATAATGAATTTCTTTTTATTTGCACATGAACATACATATAGTAAGTTATACACATTTTATGCATAATATAATATATTGACAGTAGATATGCAACATATTAAATAGACACCTTTATGCTTTCATTGCTATAACACTGACAAATATTATCAGAAAAAAGGAAGAGACTACTATTTATTTTTAATTCGGTTGGGGAATTTTAGCTAGTTAGAACTGGTAATAAGTAATGAAATGAATAAGCTGGCCTAGAGAAAAAATGAGTGAGAACTGAACAAAACCTATATTTCGAAAACAGGATAAAATGAATATTCTACCCAAAATAAAGAATAATGGTGTACGAAATCGAAAGCCTGCATATGAACCGGTAAACATGAGTGGCTATTGTGAAGCTAGCCGGCGACAAAAGTCGGCCGCTTACTATTCATGAGGCCAACCTGCAATAATATTCATGAGCCTTCGATAATATGCACCTTGGTTCAATGAATTGTTGTAAGAAATATTCGATTATAACATGTGTATAAGGATAAAACTAGAAATCATAGAGATGGGAGCCATCTCTGTGTGCCCCGCTGTGAATAACGTGTGATAAAAAATTTGTATCTTTACCATAGGACATGGGGTTTTCATTTAAAACCAAAGTTTCTGACCTTGACCTTTGACC